CAGCTTGCTGATGTCCAGGGCCTCTCCCAACTGTACCAACCTGTCACTCTGGCCAGACTCCTTCTGGGCCAGGCTGGGACCAGGGGGCGGGGCCAGATGACCTCCTGTGACCTCATCTAGCCCAGACACAATTTTCTTCCCTTCTAGATAGTTTTCTAATCACCAAGTGAATCTGAGACTGTCTATTCTTTTGACGACTACCTTTCAACTCAAGTTATGGTTTTATAAATAATATATATGGCAAGTCAGTGCCGGGGGAAGGACGCTCATTCCGCTCTGAAATATTTATGGCCCGGAGTGTCTGCTTACTTTTCTTCAGAGTCATTTTTTAGCACAGCGTGCGGGAGAGTGCGACAGCCCAGGGCATCGGCGGAGGCAGCAGCACGAATAGTCCTTCCAGCCTGACTGCTGGGCCTATCCATCCCATAGCCGACAGGGAAGATGGCAGCTCTGCCCAGGGAGCGCTCCCAAGCCCAGACCTCCTAAATTATCGCAGGGAAGACTGTGTCGGTGACAAGAAGCGGCGCCACTGCCTTTGAGACAGACGTTGCTTTCCAGTGTGCAGTGTGAATAATAACAGACACCACATCAGGCTTTTTCAAATAAGATCTTTAACTCTTCAGCCTTTCTGAGAAAGTGTGCATTGTAGCTCTCACTGTACAGGTGGGGAAACTGAGGCTCAGAAAAGTTAAGGCATTCCTTGAGGTCACTCCATAACCAAATAGCAGCCTGGAGTTCTACCCAGCCTGGCTGACCCCTCATCTCAATCTTTTCTCCTAGACCAACCTGCCACCCATGCTGACCCATCACTCAACTGTAGCTGGGAGCTAGTGAATGGATTCCAGACCAGTTTCCATGGCAGTGCCTGCCTGTCTGCAATGTTTGAACTGCTGGGGGGCTTGGGTCTGGGAATAACAATCTGTGCTGAACAGCAGGCTTGACTCCCAAACCTAAGGCGATGGATGCATCTTTGCATATGCTTAAGTGGGGCCAGATGGGAGCCTGAATTGAAGAATGATGGTGCTGGAAGGACCCATAGAGTCATCTTATCTGACTTCCCATGTTACAGGTGGGAGATTAGGAGCATGACAAGGACTTGTCCAAGGCCATAGTTGGAACCTATTGATCACGATGGTCTATCTTGGAGTCCAGACTTCTGGTCAACCTCATCTCTCTCCTCAAACCCCTTTTCTTATAGGAGAAAACTGAGACTTGGAAAGGGAAGAGCTTGATCAGAATCACAGGGGTGGAAGGATATAGAGCTGTGTACTTCCTTGGTCTGGCTGTAAATCCACTAATGAGGTAAATCATTTTGAGACTGCACTTGAGGAAAAACTTCCTGAGCATTTCTGAACTAGCTGACCATGAAGAAGGCTTTAGTTAATAAAATATAGATTTTACTCAGTGATTGGGATTAAGTAGTGAGGACAGGAATATAGGGCAATTTCCTATAGGAAAAAGGCACTTATATTTCTGAAAGTTGGTGACTCTAGGGCAGGCTGGCTCTGAGTCATCATCAATGTGGCGGGTGACAGAGAATGATTGTGAAGTCAATGAATGACAACATTTCTGAAAAAGTCCAGTTCAATCTTGAGTCAGAAGGAACTGTTGAGCTGTCCTACCCTGGCTGCCTTTGGCCTTCCCCTGCCATAGGAAGCCCCCCTTGTGGTAAATAGTCTTTAAAGATGGTCCCCACAATGAACCATGCTTCTTGGTATTCATGCCCTTGTATTGCCCCCTCCCTCTTGAATATGGGCTGGCCCTGTGTGCACCAATAGATTATAGTGGACACAACTGAGTGACTTCTAAGGCCACATCAGAAGAAGCCTTTGCAGTTCTCCCCTGGCTCTCAGGTAAGGCTTGCTCTGGGTCTGACTACTTTGAGACTGCCATAATGTGAGGAAGCCCAAGCTAGCCACATGGAAAAGTCTGGAGGGGAGACCGGGAGATCTGGCCAAGCCCCAGCTCTTCTAGTTATTACAGCTGTGGCATCAGAGGTGTGAGTGAAGAAACCATTCTGGACTTTCAGCCCAGCTGAGCCTAGATGACTCCAGCCACTGCTTCCACCGAACTGCAACTACACAAGCAACCCCAGGCCAGAACCACCCACCCAGCTGAACCTGATCAACTCTATAGACCCACCAGAGAGATAAAAATAAAAAATATAAAGCCATTATGTTTTAAGGTGACTTGCTATGCAGCAATAGATATCCAGAATACCTTGCATTGCTGATGCCATCTGGGCCTGGAGCAGAAGTCCAGGGTGATGTGGAGATTTTAAAATCAGCCTTCTCACAAACAGGACCAAGCCAGGCAGCCTCTCAGAGCCCAGAGGTGGGTGTTTCCTCTGAGACAGCCTCTCCAAACCAGCTGAGGAGCCACTAAGAGCATTTGCAGGGGACCTGTCGAAGGAGGACCTCACTGCCCTTCTCTCTGGACAGCCCTCCCTCAAGTCGTTCACAGACCTTACCTCTGCCCTTTGTTTCTGATCAGCTCCCAAAAAGTGAGGTCACAAGGCCCCAGAGTGTCCCTGAGGGACCCACAATGGGCGGAAACAGGGCTGCTTCTAGGCCCAGGGCTATGCAAACAGTTGACTGGTCAAGACAAGATGAACAGACGTGAGCATGTCCAGATACTTGGTTAGAAATTTGACATTGCCATGACAACTAAGCTTTGAGGCATGGACTTGTCTCCTCGAATATGAAACAGTATACAATAAAACTGAGTATTGTCGACTTCTGAGATGTGTCACGTTTGACCTGAGAAGCACCCTGGTCATATGCTGAGGAACCGCATATTGTCCACGAGGGACATCTAGTTTCAGAGGCAGAGTTTGAGCTTGTACTGTATCTCTGTGCATCCCCCTCTGGGAGGATCCAACCCAGGGGCATAAATGCCATTGGCGAGGGCACTGTAGGCTGAGTCTCAGTCCCCGGGCTCACTCCCCTGGCACCGCAGCCGGGTTCTTTGTGCTGCACATAGATTGCATGACTGTCATGGTAGCCACGGGTGGAGGCTTGACCCTGCAGTAAGAACCTGAGCAGCCAACCCTCTCCTTCCTCCCTGAAGCTAGACCTTTGGAGGCACAGGGCTTGCCTCACAAGAGAAATCTGATTTCCTGTCTCTTAAGGAAAAGAGCTGAAGGATTCTAGGATTTCGCATGTCTTTTTGTAAAACAAGCTGGTGACATCAGATTTTAGAATCAGTGCCTTGAATTTCATGCACGAGACCTCCAGTTAGCAAGTTCACTTAGAACAGGGTTTTTTGAAATATCTGAGGAAGAGTCAGAAAGCTCAGTGGACCCCAAGTACCAGAGACGAGGAGCCAGCTGGCATGGGTGTGAGATGCTATCACACTGTGGCTGTCATTTGCATTTCTCCGATGCATTTGCATTGCCTTCTAAACTGGTTTTTACTTAAATAATTTAGTATAAAAACACAAACTCACAGGGACCATACATTAAACATCTGCTGTGATAGACGCTGTGCTTGGGGCTCTTATGACACAAACTCACCTTAATTTCCTAACCTCAGTCAGGAGAGTGGGTGTGGTGGGCAGAATAACGCCACCGACATTAAGAGATTACCCTGCCTTATCTGTAATCACAGGGTCCTTTAAAGCAGAAGGGGAAGAAGTCAGGGTTAGAGAGAGATTTGAGATGCCACCTGCTGGCTGTGAAGGGGACCATGGCCAAGGGATGTGAGAAAGTCCAAGGAAAAGATAAGGAAACATATTCCCCAGGTTCTCTTCAAGGATCCAATCCTGCTGAAAAGTGTGCTTATTTCAGATATATTTGAGTCCCGAAACTAACAGGGGATATGTTTTGCTGTTCTTTTAAGCCACTAACTTTGTGGTAACTTGGTGCAACAGCTATGGGAAACTACTACAATGGGGTTCAGAGAGGCTTCGTAACTTGCCCAAGATGGCACAGCGTTGAGATCCAATCCCAGGTCACTCTGATTCCAGGGCCCCTTGCTCTTTCCCTCTACTCCACACTGCCCCCTGCTGACACTCTCGGTGGCCTTGGTGTGAAGCTGGGGGAGGGGGGAGATCCAGGCACTGGGTTGCCTGAGGGAATGGAGAAGAGAAACACAAATGGAGAGAAGAGTCATCTGTGACCCTGTTGGCCAAAGGTGGGCCTCCACTTTCGGCAATAGCTCTGAACAAAACACTGCCTCCCGGCTCCAGGGGTCATCCTGACCCCAAACAAGGACGGTTCACTGCAGGGCCAGTGTCCGAGAGCAGGGCCCACCACCTGCGGGGATGTGTGCATCTGGGGGGTGGGAGGCCTCCTGCGAGTCAGTCAGTAGGAGAGGTGCAGGTCTGAGTGCCACTGCAGCACGTGGGAAAGGTGCTGACTTCCTCTGGGCTCCAGCCTCCTGATGAATCAAAAGGGGTGATAATGCCTACTCTCCATCAGGATCCCGCTGCCAATCCACGGCAGGCCCCTTTGTCCGTGAATTTATAACGGCTGCCCGTTACTGCTTCACCTCATCCCAGCCGCCCTCCAGACTTGAGCTGAATGCGTCTTTGTAACTCCCATTGCATCTGTCTTGTGGGTTCAGATACCTCCCAGCGCCAGGAGGGTTCCAAAGGACCCGGGACAGTGTGTCTCGTATTTGTCATGCTTTCACTCCTCCATTTTAACCTCAGTGGGCGCCTTTCCCATCCTTTCATCCGCACAGAAGAGCCAAAGAGCTGTTCTGGTCACACAGGGGGTAGAGCGTGGTGTTCGTCCCTGATCCCTCAGAAAGAAGGCTTGTTAGCAATCAGAGAGGGTGGCCAGCGCAGCTTCGCTAAAGGTTTCCAGTGGCTGGCCGCAGGGCTCTGGGCTGGCACTGGGCCTGGTCACTGGGCGCCTGACGGAGATGAAGACATGGAAACTAGCTAATCAGATTTGCAGAATGTGCTGACTCGCTCCGGGGCTCCTAGGCACCCCGCCCAGGATGACAGTGCCAGGCACATTCCCACAGAGGTTGGGGTGTCTGCTTGAAGCTGAGTAGCCGGGGCCCACTTACTCTGCTTGGGAAACATACGACATTTCTGGGTTAGTGATTCATTTCATCTGGGACCTCAGGGTGCCCTGCTGACATACGATACAGTAGTCTTTGCAAGGAGCCCACAGGCATTTCTTCATTAAGTCCTGAGTGTCAGGGAGGCCACCCAGAATGGAGAGCTGGGCCTGGGCAGAATTTGGAGTTGGGTGCATTGGCTGGAGCCCCGGGAGGCCTGGGTGCGGCTGTGCCCTGCTGGCTGCCCTGCAGGGACAGCAGACAGGGAGGCGGGCTGGAGCCGCCGCAGTGCACTCTGCCTGCAGGAGCTTTCTTGCTCACCTAGAGCCCAGGAGAAGGCTCCTACCAGGTGAGCTTCGTTCACGGCTGGGCCCTGCACCCAGTACTCGAAAGTCACCTTCCCGGTGGGATCTTCCCTAGTCACCTTGTCTTGACTTTCACCCTCTGCCCCACCTCAGACATTTCACGTTCCCTTTCTCGCCTTAACTTGTACCACCGTCTAGCCTATGATATATTTATTGTACTTATTTATCTTGTTTATTGCGTGCGTTCCTCCATAGAATATAACTCTATGTGGACAAGGACTTGTCCACTTCTTCACTGAGGTGTCCCCACCACCAAGCACAATGCCTGGTACAGGGTAAGGTACTCAAAACATATTTGTCAAATGAATGAATGAATGAATGAATGAATGAAACCAGGCCCCTGTATAGATGACTCTCCCTCCGAGGCGCCAGTGAGGACTGGTGGTTAAGGAACTGATGTTCTCACAAAGCAGCAGTGGCGAAGGCGCTTGTGGAGGCGGGCTATGAGCTGTGAGAAGCAGACAGGTCGAGCTCATCTCTGGCATTTCCCAGCTCTGCAAACTGGGGCAGCTGACAGCTCTTCCAGTTCCTTCTTCCTCAAAATGGGGATGACACTGTGACCTGAGAAGCATAAAAGGCACAGAGGGGGTCCTTTTGGCTGCAGGTCCCTGAGGTTACTCATAGCTGGAGCACTCTGTCCATGGCCTCTGTCCTGAAGGAGCAGAGGAGCCAGCAGCATGAGCCGGGCTTGGGTAATTGGCCATGGGTGGAGGGTCTGGAGATCCTGGGGGAGGCGTGAGTGGGAGGTGGGCAGGGTGAAGGGAGCAGGACCAGGAATCCCAAAGAGAAGGTTAGGTCCCTGCAGGTAGACTCTGGGTGGAGATTGTGTGCAGGAGTTTAATGGGGGTGCTCTCAGAATCAGCACCTGGGAGAGAGGGACAGCAGCAGAGGGAGAGGGAGCGCTACAACCAGACCTCAGAGCTGGAGCTGGGTCTTTGCAGCCCCGCACCCATCACTCACAAACACAGGCTGCCCCAGGAAAGGGCCAGCCTTGAGGCCTCGGGTGGGAGGGCTCTCTTCAGAAGAGGGTAATCCCATCACCTTCCCATCACCAGCAGTTGGGGATAATTCTTCAGATTTTAAGGAGACTTTGGGAGGGGCAGCAGAGTGTCCACTGCAGTGGGTCATTAGGGCAGAGCCAAACTCAGCTGTCCTAGCTCCACTGTGGCCACAGGGCCCCCAACCTTTGACCTTTGTGACCTCTAGCTGTGGTCCTCCTGTTCCCTTTCCATTTTTCCTCTTCCCCTCGATCCATCCCCCACCCGCACCCCCATCTTTTCTAGTGGCATCTGCAGGGCCCCAGGGAGGGGTGGGAGTGTGAGGGAGTGAGGGAGGAGGGGAGGCTGAGAGTAAGAAAGGGGAACATTTTGTGCAGGTCAAAGGGCAGGGAGTATGGCTGAGGAAAGTGGGTGTGGACTGGGGGCCTCCCAGCTCTGCTGCCTGCCGGCCGGGTGGCCTGAGGAAATCCTCCCTCCCCTCTGGTCTCCAGCTTCCTCACTTGCATGGCGGGGGCTCGGGCGTGGGGAGCACAAAGGAGGTGTGGATGGGAAAAGCATGAGCACCTGTAGACGGAGTCAGCGTGTGCGCACTGGTGTGTGCAGGAGCCAGCAGTCTCCCTGCTGTGTTGCCAGGAGCTGCACCTTGGAGTCCTGTCTCTGGGGACTGGAGAGCTGGCCTCCTTCCCTGGAGAATGGAGGGGGTGCTGGAATGGCCCCCAGGGCAGCGGACGTTGGCCCCTCTTGCCCCAGTGTTGAGGCCCATGGAGGACTCCTGGCTGAGGGAGAGTGGGTGACTATGTAGCTGGAGAGCGTTCTCACAGCCAAGCCCAGGAACAAAACCCTGGGTCCCCCCAACGCCTGCACAGCCAATCCAGGGCTGATGAAAACAGCAATTATGAGCTGTGTTATTAAAGGCGGCAGGATTTTAATTAACAATGGAATCACCTGGTGGTGGGATCCGGGGAGGGAAGGGATAATGATGGATTGCTGGAAGGCAGGCAGGGCTGTTGTTTCAACTTCTCTCGGCCCCTGGTAGGTCTGGAAGGCAGTGAGGCCAGCTTTCCAATCTCTAATGAGGAGCATTCTCAGGTGCTCAGGGCCAGGTTGGCCAGAGGTGTGTGGGGGGGTGCTTTTAAGGGGCACCCTCCACCCCAGGGCTGCAAGGTGCGGGTGCAGCTGAGAAAGGGGTTCAGAGATGGGTATTGGCAGGCAGGGCCAGGAGGGGAAGCCCAGCAGAACCCAGGGGTCCCCAGCTACAAGGTGTATTATAAAGGAGGTTATGCTCCCCACTTGAGTCTCCAACCAGAGCCCCAGAATCTCCTGGGGCCCCTTATACAGCTGATAACCAGGTCCCGTCTCATGAGTAAGTTAACAAGTATCCTGACCACATTTGAGTTTCAAAACCAATGAATTTGAGGCCATTGGTTTTCAAACCTTTTTTTTTTTTTCCTGCCTCAGCAACCCTTGCTTCAAATGAAACCTTACCAGGAGGGCAAATGAACCCAACAGATCAACACCAGTGTGCTCGGTCAAGGTAGGTGGGGGAGGGGAGTCTAAACCCCTGGCCCTTGCCCACTCAGATCAGCAAACAGCCTCAAAGATTTGTTCAGACAAGTGCAATGTCTTTCCCATCTCCGACACCTTCCCCTTCTCCATCCAGCACCTGGGCAGTTCAGAGTGGGGCCCAAACCTTCAGAACTGGACAGGTTAAGGCAGGCAGGAGCTGAATTTCTGCCATTTAAGAAGATTTTAAGCCAGGAAGGCCAAACCAAAAGGAGTTTTCTGGCTCAGGGTAATGAAGGCAGGTTCTGGAGTCAGACTGCCTGGGTTCAAGTCCCAACTCTGCCATTGGCTTTCTGGGTGATGTTGGGCAAGTTACTATACTTCCTAAGCCTCAGTTTCCTCAGCTGTGAAATGGGTATGTGGCAGGATGCTGAGACCTCTCCTCAAAAGGCAATGTCCTCACCCCACCCAGTCTGTCACCTTATAGAATGTTCTAGAACTCTTGTGAAGAACAAGCATCCACATGGGCCAAGCCCTTAGGACTGAGCTTGTTAGGTAGTAAGTAGGAAATGTCTGCTATGACTGCTAGGCCCTAGGGGCTTGGATGTCCTCCTAGGACAGACCAACCCAGAGTCATCTGACAGAGCCTAGTATTTAAATCCTCAGCTGGAGGTGTTTAAATCCTGCCTCCAGCACTTCCCACTTGCGTGATCTTCGGCAAGACACCTGCCCCTCAGGCCCACCTCCAGGGGGATGTATGAGCATGAAATGAGAGGGCATGCCTAATCCAGAGGGCCGTTCTCAGGCTGCGTCGTACTGGACGTCCAGTAGCACTTGACACAACTGACCTCTCTCCTCCTGGAAGTACCTTCTCCACTTGGCTTCTGTGACCCTGTGCTCCCCTCCCCTCCCCTGGCTACTCCCCAGCAGCTCCTGTGTGGGCTGGATGGACGGGCTCCAGGGCGTGGCATTGTCTGGGAGGACAGGCTGCTCTTTCAGCCCCACCTTGGTAGTCGGGGTAGATGGGTAATTCTCTTAGTTTTTCTGGCTCAGGACCAGCTGTGGGCAGATCTCTGCTTTGACTTCTCCTTTGAGGCCTGGATTGTCTCTTTAGTTCAGCTCTGATGTTCCTGCCACCAAGCAGCTCTCTGGGTCCAACTCCTGATCCATGTTCAATAAACGTTTATTAAATCACCAACAAGAGCAGGTGAGTCAGCTCAGAGAGCTCCTAGAACATTTCCCGGCCACAGAAACGTAAGTTCCATGGGAATACCTGGAAATGGTGCCTGGAGCCAGGGTGTCACCGCATGGTGACAAGTAGCAGTAACACTGTTTACTAAGCACTTTCATAAACGTCATTATTTGCTAAGCATTTTTACATTATTCCACTTGGTCCTCTGAGCTGGTGTTTTTATTTCTGTTTTATAGATGAAGATCCTGAAGCATAGAGATGTCGACAGACCATTTGCTCAAGCAGCCCTACCCCTGAAGGTGTATTTAAAGAATCGGACAAATAATTATTTGTGTATGGGGGACACAGCTTAGTACTAAAATGCTAGTCCAAAATTGCATGTAAATTGGAAGGAGAGTGATTTAAATTAAGGAGTTCAGGGGTCCTAATATTTGTCAGGAGGAGGAAATAAATTAACTTTAGGGTTTATTAAGTGCGCATGTTAAAATAAGTAGCATAATGGCTAAAAGAATAGGCATATAATATATAACTGAAACAAATGGGAGTGAGGTGGGAAAATAAAATGAAAAAAAGAGATAAAAGCCCTAAAAAAATCTCAATTACTCTCGGTGGATGTGTTATTGTTCAGAAAATATTCACTCTGTCTTCCCACCTTCCCCTGAGAGGAGTTTAGTTCCCCACTTCATTGTTGTTGAGCTTGACTGCGTGTTTTAGCCAATGGAAGGTGAGTAGCTGTTAACACAGGCCTTTAAATGTCCTCGAATAATGTGGCTTTGTCTCATGTGCTTCTGCCTCTGCCACCTGCCCCAGAAACCCTCGCTGCTTCAGCCTGGTCCAAGGAGAATAGTCTTAGACTATACCCACAATATGGAATAACAAAAAGATCGGGCAGAGCTGTAGCCTCAGATCTGAGAATGAGAAATACATTTTGTTGTTGTTAATCCTCATCCAAGGATATTTTTTCCATTGATTTTTTGAGAGAGTGGAGGGAGGGAGGAAGAGAGAGAGAAGGGAGAGAGAGAGAACGAGAGAGAGAAACATCAACGTGAGAGACACACACATCAATTGGTTGCCTCCCACATGAGCCCTGACCTTGGCAGGGATCAAACCTGCAACCCAGGTACATGCCTTTGACTGGAACTCGAACTCGAGACCCTTTGATCCAGGGGCCAATGTTCTAACCACTGAGCAACCAGCCATGGAAGAAAAGCTTTTTTTTAATAATCCTCTGAGACTTTGGCATTGTCTGTTATTCAGGATTATTGCAGTAATATTTAATCAATGTACAGATCAAAAGAAGACAAGAAAAGTAGGGGAGAAAAAAAGCAGAAAAGGAGGTCCAATAAGAAAACATTATAAGATGTTAATAAATCCAAATTGATCACTAAAATATAAATGGACTAAACTCTCTAAAAGATAAAGATAAAAGGTAAAGTCATAGAAGAAACCATAGGCAGCAAATTCTCAGACGTATCTTGTAGCAATATGTTTACAGATACAGCTTCTAAGGCAAAGGAAACTAAGGAGAAAATAAACAAATGGGACTATATCAAAATAAAAAGCTTCTGCACAGCAAAAGAAACCATCAACAAAATGAAAAGGAAGCCCACTGCATGGGAGAAGAACATATTTAGCAATGATACATCTGATAAAGGGTTAATATCCAAAATATATAAGGAACTCATACAACTCAACAAAAGGAAGATAAACAATCCAATTTAAAAATGGGCAAAGAACCTAAATAGATACTTCTCCAAAGAGGACATACAGAAGGCCAAAAGACATATGAAAAAATGCTCAAAGTCACTGATCGTCAGAGAGATGCAAATTAAAACAACAATGAGGTATATCACCTCACACCTGTCAAAATGGCTACCATCAACAAATCAACAAATGACAAGTGCTGGCAGGGATGTGGAGAAAAGGGAACCCTAGGACACTGCCGGTGTGAATGCAAACTGGTGCAATCATTATGGAAAACAGTATGGAGTTTCCTAAAAAAATTAAATATGGAACTGCCATTTGACCCAGTGACCCCACTTCTAGGAATATATCCTAAGAAACACGAAACACCAATCAGAAAGAACATATGCACCCCTGTGTTCACAGCAGCACAATTTACAATAGCTAAGATCTGGAAACAGCCCCAGTGCCCATCGGTAGATGAGTAGGTAAAAAAGCTGTGGTACATTATACCATGAAATACTGTGCAGCAGTAAAAAAGAAGAATCTCATACCCTTTGAGACAGCATGGAGGGACCTGGAGAATATCATGCTAAGTGAAATAAGTCAGTCAGAGAAAGACAAGTATCACATGATCCCACTCATATGTGGAATCTAAGTAACAAAATAAACTGACGAATGGAGTGGATCCAGAGACATGGAAGCATAGAACAGAGTGCGGGATCTCAGAGGGAAGACGGGGGAGGGTTGGTGGGTGGGAGGAAATCAACCAAAGACCTTGTATGCATATATGCATAACCCATGGACACCGGGTGCTGAAGGCCTGGGGCAGGGAGCGGGGGTGGGCTGGAGGGGGTCAGTGGGGGACATATGTAATACTTTCAACAATAAAGAATTATTTTAAAAAATTAAGTTCATGTAAAAAAATAAAAGATAAAGTCATTAAAATAAAATTCAACCATATGCTATTTACAAGGGACACACAAAAAACCATAAGGACACAGAGATAGAAAGTCAAAGGATGATGCCCTGGCCAAGTAACTCAGTTGGTTAGAGCATGGTCCCCATACACCAAGGTTGCGGGTTCGATCACAGTCAAGGCATATACAAGAATCAACCAATGAATGCATAAATAAGTGTAAGAACAACTTGATGTTTCTCTTTCTCAAAAAAAAAAATCAATCAATAAAAAAAGTCAAAGGATGGAAAATATATTCTAGGCTAATGAAAAAGAAAAATGGGAAGGTCATATTGAGGTCAGAAAAAAATTGACTTTAAGGCCAAAAGTGTTACTAGAGATAGAGGGTCAATGAAGAATAAAAAACAGTTCATTCACCAAGAAGATAGAAAAATTCTCATCTTTACACATTAATAACATAGTCTAAAATATTTAAAGCAATAGTTGACATACATAAAAGGAAATATGAAAGTCTGTTATAATGGGACAGTTAACATTATTGCTCATCGATATATATAAAAGGCTAAGTGACCGCCCGACCGCCCAACCGCCCAACTGTCTGACCGGTAGCTATGACATGCAATGACCACCAGGGGGAAGATGCTCAACACAGGAGCTGCTGAGCTGCAGTGACTTGGCAGCGGCTGTTCTTGGGTGATGCACCCCAGAACCAGAAAGGAGGGAGCCCGATTCTGGGTGCGTCACCTGAGAACTGCCCTCACGCAATCCGGGACCCCTCGGGGGATGTCGGAGAGCCGGTTTCAGCCCGATCTCTGCAGACCAGGCCGAGGGACCCCCACCTGCTGGAGGGACCCCACTCACTCCACAGACACCCTTCGAATCACGGTGCTGCCCCAGATGTGGCTGCCTGGGGAGGGATCACAGGAGGTTGGCTCCAGGGCATGTTTGGCCCATCTCACCCAGTCCCGTCCCGCTGGCCACCTTCTAATTGATTTCCTTTCAATATTCACGAATCCATGCACCAGGTCACTAGTAATAACATAAATCAAGTAGATTGAAAAAAAGAAAGCACTTAAAAGATTTAATAGTAAGTATAACAAACTTGATCAAGTGGATGTTTAGTGAAAGAAAAAAGTCACAGAGAGATGTGTGCACTATGAGTCCAGTTATCTTTAAAGTCACAATCGAAATGAAACAATATATCACTTAGGGATATATATGTGGATGGTTTAAAGGAAAAGCAAGGGAAAAATTAACCTGAAATTTGGAACAGTGGTTACCCCCAGGGACACACAGAAGGATTCTAAGGTTCTAGTTCTTAAGGTGAATATTTGGGTGTTAAGTTAATGTTTATTATATAAAATGTATTGGTACATTTAGTCCATTCTGGGTATAGCTGATATATTTCACAATAAACATCATTTTATCAAAAAGCCTCAGATGTGTGACTTCTCTGTGGTTTTGAGCTCTCATCTGGACAGATAGGCGGCCTGACTCATGGGAATACAGAGCTTCTTTCTAAACAGATAAATCAGGATGGGCAACAAAATTTGGCTTAGTTCATTAAGTGTGTGTGGTGGGGGAGGGGGGAGGGGAGGGGAATTGGTCCTGTTCAATTTGGTATTTTTTTCCAGATGGTTTTCATTTCAGGAGACAGCCTGAGCATCATCACTGTCTCTCATTTGCTGAAACAAGTTCCCCACAAATAAGGGCATGTTTCCATCTTGAGCTGCTGTTTCTGCAGCTGCTATTGTGGCGTCTCCTTTCTTGCCTTGGGCCCTGTTTTGTTCCACCCTCCCTTCTCTTGCTCTGCGTAATCTCCTTTACTTAGAGTTTCAGACTTGGAGGAGAATATCATCCCATGCACAGATTCTGCCAAACCCAACCCCAGGAGGGCAGGAGGTGCAGCTTCTGCTTTCATACCTCCCCTGCCA